ACAGCAGGAACGAGCGGTGTGGGTGGCACACTGTTCCAGTTGCTTGCAAAGCTTGAGGCTGTGGAGCAAATCTGTGAAGGCGAGCCTTTGTTATCTACAGACGTTCCCATGTTGATTCGCTCTAAGCCTGAGAATCAGATGGCCTTCGAGAACTTGCCCAGCATCAAGACCCCACTCCTCGAGGAGTTCTTGCGCGTCTTTGCAGTCCAAGCCAGTGCTCACAAGTTGGAGCGCGCCGACAAACGCTATCCCGAGCATACCGAGACTTTCAAGGCAATGTCCATGAGAATGGCTTCAATCCTCTCACAGACAGCCGTTGCGGCAACGGATGTTCCTCAGGACTTGAAAGCTGCCTTGGAAGTTCAAGCGGTCATTGTGCAGAAGAACGTGACCAAGGTGTCGTCAGAGAAACATTTCGCAGGCCAGGCGTTCTTGATTGCGTTCATGTGTTCCATTCATTGCTTGGGTGAGCTTGTGCTTCAGCTTTTCATGCTTTTGACCATTGACTTGATCATTCTCTGCGTTTGCAGGTGCTGTTCGATTGACGATGAGTGGATCTCGGGAGGTCATTGCTGTGCCATTGAGGGCAATGGCAGAGCATCTGGGGGCAACTGATTTGAAGTCGGCCAGGGACCTCCTGACTGCACTCGATGAACCCAAGCTGGCCAAGCTCATCAGCAACGGGGTCAAGGTGTATGCCACGAAGACTAGCAAGGCGTGGTACAGTCTAACGATTTCGAACATGTTTCTTAGCATTTGCTGCGTGCGTGCCTGTTGATCCAGACTGTAGACATGGCCTGACCTGACCAGGGCGACGCTCTTTACATACCTTCTGCCTACATCTTTGCAGAGAGGGTCGTTGGCGCCTCACCGTGGATGGGTGTGCGGGCAGGTGCTCTAGTTGCTTCATTGTCGTTGCAAAGTGACCTAGATTGGCTCATGACTGGATGGGCCAAAGATGATGAGGTGGTCAGACTGTTGCGATCGTGTGTGCAAACTCAGATGGCTGCTGGTGTGCAAAGTGGGGTCCCATCAAGGCAAGCAGAGCAGGAGGCGCTCACCCAAACACAAGCAGACAAGCAAGAGCAGCAGAAAGATGAGCAGGAGGCAGCGCAAAGGA